AAAAAACTCACTTTGAATATTTTTCAGCATAGTCGGATAGGTCTGATCCGAATTTTTCCTAACGTAGTGCTTTTGATAACACCATAATCCTTCTGTTATATTCAGTTCACAGTGGAACTTGGGACAAAAATGAATGGTAATATTATATTTCTGAGCTAACAGTTCTAATCTAGAGACCTAAAGTTAGGAAATGCAAATTCGGTAAATTGTTTGTCTGAAATCAAAAAATGAACTAAATAAATCCTACATTTTGAAATGCTGGATGATCAGCGAGATGAGCGCGTAATTGTGGTAATGTTAGACGATCAGCATTTTTTACATTCAACTCTTTTGCAATCACCGCCAACCCTTTACTTAAACCACGATTTGGCCCATTCACAAAAAAACAATCTAAAACTTGTGCTTTTCCATTTGAATCTCTATACCTAAAATAGGGAGGAGATTGGTGCAATCAGTTGAAATCGAAATTTTTGAGAAACAATAAAAAGTCCTCAAGTAATTCCTAATAAAAACACTCACTGAATTTGATCGATTTCACATTTAGTGCCAATATTTTTACTAAAATCAGTCAAAGAGTGAGACTTTTTTGTGTGAGTGCGAGCATTGTCAAAGACGAATTCCACTGAATGATCACAATATGCTTCTTTGAATTCAATCATCTGAAAGATACGCTCACATTGGCCAAGGACGGCCTCGTTATCCATGTAACAATCATATCCTATGTGAAGGGAAGCCGTGGCTGTACGTGGAACATAATCAAGATCTGTTGATGCTGCCAATTGAGGATACTTTTTCACACATCGTTCCATTTCCTTTTCACTTAAATTGAAATAGGGACCAGAGTAATGCTGGACAACGAAATCCGATACCATATTCGAACGGCCGCGCCCTTTACTGTAAAAGGATGCCTGATCTCCATAAAACCAACGACGGCTGGCTATCTCTCCCGAACGAAATGTCGACTCATCATGGACTAAAAATTGAAATTAAACGAAATTAAGTCACTGTGGTCTAAACAAAAAACTTCACTTACAAATAAGGATTCGACCTGGCTTTTTCTCAGGTTTAATCCAACCGGGGAAGTCTTCGTTATCATTGACTGTGTAATAACTTTGTTTATTATCCAAAAAATAATTTATAAATGTTTCACGACTTTCGACAACATCTGCTCTTTCATGGCCCTCCCAGTATGGACGTGCTCCATTCTCACGAAAAGTTGCTCCCCAACGTCGTAAATCCAGACTAAAGCAGAAAAAGCATTTTGAATAACTAAAAAAAATTCTAAAAAATTGCTTGAATCCGATTTTGGCACTGCTACCAAAAAGCCTGAGCATCATCTGCGACACATCTATAGTAAAAAAAAGACTAACCGAACTGAAGCTTCTGATCTAATTAATTCACTATCTTTTGGTTTTGTTGTTCCAGTTGTTTCATAATATTTCTCATCGATAAATTTCGCTAATTCATTAACACTAAAATTTGCTGCTTTATCGGAACATCGGGTAAGCGTATAAACTTTAGCTTCTGTTTCAATTTGTGGGAAATCATCAAAAAATGCACTAGTATGTTTGCCACCACGGTGTTCACTCGTAAAATCTTGGAAATCACCAGAAAAGAAGGCTTCAGTGTGTTTTTGTGATGTTCGACTTAATAGTGAACCAATTGGACGTAACATATCATCACATTGCTGCCAGTTTAGACCAACATGTCGTAAGGTCGTATAGACTAACACACTTAAGTATTTGAGAGGACAGGACGCTTTACACAGTTCTAAATTTTGAAAGAGAATTAAAAATGATTAAGACTTTTTCCGAACTTCCATTGAAAGTTTTGAGAGAAGAAGAAAGTGATCTTTCAGATGCTTAATTTAGCAGAGTCACTTACCGAAGATATCAGCAATATCATTCAGAAATATTGGCTTTTTGAAATCGATCTTTTCTCCATCTTCAATGATGGTATTGTTTAATTCGGTCTCCATTTCCTCACCTTCCTCAGAGGTACTACTTTCACTTTCATTTCCTAAAGTTTCATTTGAATATCGTTGTTTCAAAAAAGATTCACACAATAATGTACGTCCATTCTTTTTAGGCATTATAAGTGTGAAGAAAAGCTGAGAGATATTTCAGAATAATCTAAAACAACAAAGAACGTTAGTGCATTCAAATACGCAAATTAGAGGAGCTTAGCGAATATTTTTCATCTGCAAGTTATATCAAATACCTTC